TGACTAATTTTTCTTTTCAAATATTTATTTATTGCTATTACACGCTGCGTTGTCTCACTCACAGCATGACTTTATGCAATTTCTTCTTCTTCGTCTTCTTCTTCTTCTTCTGTTTTACTGGCAGTTGGCAACCGATTAATTAGAGCAGGTCGTTGTACTGCCCTCTAGTGGAAGACATTGTAGTTGTTCTGCCCGTGACTCACACCAGCCGCTTGGTGTACTAATCAGGTGGAACCAGATAATCTTCCACAGCACACCTGATCATTTATCACGGCAATCCTATTTGCAGCAGCACAGTGGTTGGGAAATACTGCTGTAGATGACTAATTTACAACTGAGGACTGCTAAATAATTACACGTAACACATAGTAGAAAAATCTTTTTATGTTTCATGTCCCGGGAAAAAACCCAAACCATTAGACAATATGTCAGATTTTAAGCTTTGCTGTGTAAACTGTAACCTCAGACCAGTCAGCCTGGCACCAACAACTATGCTATGGTTAACGATGCTAATGTATTAGCTGCTTGGCACACTGAATCTTTGCATTAACAGGAGTTTGAACAGGTATACCTAATAATGTGGTTCATCAGTGCTTATTCCTCAACCTGCAAGAAAAGATAGACTTGGGCACACATGAGAAACTCGGTGTAGAGGTGTTGTTTCTCTGATCCTGTCTGATTATAGTGTGAGGAAACTTTGCAACATGATCTCAAAACACGCCTGACACCACAAGGCAAGCGTGCTCGTTTTACTCCACTGTTTCACGACCAAATCGTTCTAATCGTTAAATCCCACACGTCAAGAAGAAGCATGCCCATCTTGACAGTGATCAAAATCATTCAACCACTGACTCCTTGTCATTGGTTGGATGATGAAGAGCATATAACAGAGCAGATGAGCAGATCAACCATCACTTCTCAAAGCTGTTCTAATTTCTTCAGTAAGCTGGCTGAAGTAGTGGAAAGACTCAGAACAACATGAGTAGAGAAATGCAAACCACCGGCCTGACTTGTTCTGCCACACTGTTTGCTGTGAGAC